CAGCGACCCCGAAGGTGACCTGAAAGAAAGGAAAGAGCTGAAAATTCTAGAGGGTGGAGGAGATAACGAGAAAAAATGTGAGAGCAAAGTAGCAGTAAGGAAATAGTTATGGGACGCAGAATATGCAGGCGAATGAAATGAGAAGGAGGGATGTTCTCAACTAAAATACAAACTCAGAAGAACATTTATCGAGCATACGCGTGCTTCCGATAAATCCCCATCGGGCCTGTACATTTATATTGGAACGAGGTACAATCTGAAACGTGTGAGCGATAAGAGCAATCGATTACGGTTCGTATTTTCATACAAACAGGGCATGTGAATAGAGTGGGGTAGGGGGGAAGAGGAGATGAAGCAGAAAGTGACAGTGAGGGTTAGGCAGGGCCGTGTCACAAGCGGGGGGGAGGCGGGGGCGCGGAGCCATGCATACAGTTAATCGAACCTTGCGCACAGTAGACACGAAGCGCGCAAGAAGTTCCTCTGCGCGCACAGGACCGGCCTCTGTAGCCTGATGGCAGTCGCATCTGCTGTTTCTAGTAGGCGCTGACCCAGTCGCCTAGCTTAGTCAAGTGGGACCTTGTAAATCACACGGAAGGCGTCGCTGGGATCCACACGATGCTCAGAATCAACCATGTGTGCGAGGATGGATCTATGGATACTCTTAACTTCCCCCTTCCTCAGCCATTTCGGCAGGAGTTCTCGTATTCTTGTGGGTAGACGCCGACTCGTACGACCAATGTAGCCTGCTCCACTTGAGCAAGTAAAGGAACACATGCACATGGAGGTGGCCCGAGCTGGTAGCTTATCCTTAACTTCCCCGCGTAAGACGAGGTTGGTCGGAAACAATACTTGAATTCTTGCTGCCGGGAAGGTCCGTGAAACGGCTTAATCAAGGCGCCTTTTCAGGAGCTCACTCGCCGCGAACGGGGACTTTGAGGAACAGAGTTCTCTTTTCTGAGGTCGGTATGATGAGTTTTGCCGGTCGTTCGGCAAGATTTCTTACGATAACTCTGTCCGGGGACCCGTTCTAGCAAAGCAGGTCCTGGATCCTTTTAAGTTCCTCATCAACGCTATCTACCAAAGAGATTTTTCTAGCCCTTTGCGCCAAACAGCGGACCAGATTACGTTTCTGTTGAAGAAGTACGAAACTGTAGAATTTCTTTTATTGCCCAGACTAGTTGTCCTTTTGATAGACGCTCCTTCAGATGCTGCTGTCCTCTCTTCTGCCTGGAAGGGCAGGGATCCTGCCCTTTCCACCTCTAACGTAAACCTGATCGACGAATGTGCTTGACTAACAGCATCCAAGAGGGTGGTTGTGTTGGTTTCTCTGGTGGCAATCACAAATATCAGAAGACGAGGTGGCGAGCAGCAGTCAGTGCCAGGGGTGGGCTGAGAGCGGAAGGGCGCGGGGGAGTTGTAGCGTTAGTCGACCTTCGACCGCTGTAGGCGCGGTGTCTGAAAGTGGTTCTTCTGTGCGCACAAGATTGGTTTTCGCAACCTGATGGCGGCCGCCTCTGCTGTCGCTAACAGGTGCTGTCCCGGTGGTTTAGGGTAGCTCGATGGGACCCTATAGATCACACGAAACGCTTTACTGGGGTCTACATAATGCCCGGAATCGACAGCATGCGCGAGAATGGCAGTGCTTCTGCTCCTCGTTTCGCCTTTTCCCAGCCATGCCGGGAGGTGTTCCCGTATTCTCTTGGATAAGCGCCGACTCGTGCGACCAATATAACCTGCTCCACAGGAGCCAGTGAAGGAATTGATGCACATTGAAGTGTTCTGGGGTGACAACTTATCCTTACCTTCTCCGTGTAAAATAGGGTTAGTAGAGAAGAATACTTGAAACCTGTCCACTGGGAAGGTTTGCGAGACAGCTTGATTAAGGCGCCTCTTTAGGAGTTCACTCGCAGCGTTCCCTTGAAAAGGGACTTTAGGGAACAGAGTTTTCTTTTCGGCAGTCGGTGTGGCGGTTTTTACCGGTCGTTCGGCCATATTCTTTGCAATAAACCTGCCCGAGTAGCCGTTTTCACGAAGGAAGCCCTGGATTTTTCTAACTTCCTCCTCGATGCTATCTGTTGATCAAATTTTTCTAGCACTTTGCGCCAAACGTCGGACTAGATTTCGTTTTTGTTGTAGGGGTATGAAGCTAGCGAACTTTATGTCGCTAACGCAGTGACCGTAGTGCCTAAGCATATAAATTTGATCGTTTAATGGAAACTTCTCCAGCTTGCTCATGAAGACATCGGCTAGGAGAGGACCAAGAGGCGATCCCATAGTAACTCCGCCTATTTCTCTATTCATATTTTATTGTTAAAAGGAGTTGCATATTTTTTGTGTGTACAGGACTGATGAGAATTTATAAAAAGCACGCGAAGTGCTCTTCTGAATCACTCCACGGGAATTTTCGCAGCTTTTAAATACAAAAGGGACGCTGCGCTGTAAGTAAACACATACACAACGAAATGTAGTTAACTGAATAAACATAAAAGGATTTCATCTTTTACATCTATCTCACACGGCAGCTGCGTAGGTATACAGCCACATGAATCACCTTTGACTTCGGTAGTTAATTTATGTAACTATCCCATCCTATGGTTTAGTTCCCGTTGTATTCCGTCTTGAATTTTGACAGGGGTTTCCTTTGTTAGACTCCCCGCAGAGGAACATTATTTGGAGTACTCACATTCTCCTAAAAGTCATCAAAGACACAATTCTCTCCGTTAGTCAGGAAAGGCAACCTTTTTGCTGGCTTTCTAATTCTATCAAACGAACTATTTTCACGAGAACAAAACCTTTTCGAAAGTAGGCAAGACATTGTCTCACTCCTCATAAAACAGAAAGTAAGGACAAGCTCAGCGTCTGCGATGACCTAAATAGGGTAAAAAAAACACGTGAAAAAAAGAACAAAAAAGACCAGTATTGAGAGTAACGACGCTGGTGAAACAATTTCCTCGCGATTCTGCGACGCCATGATTGACTCTGTCCCCCCCAAGTGCTCCCTCGTTGGGTGGACCCCTGTTCTAATGATCCTACTTGATATGCAGAGTGTCCGAAGTAGAGGTCGAAGAAGAGGACATATTTCTTCGTCTTCTGTGGATAGACTTGACGCTCTCCCGTAGGGCCGAAAGAGCTTTTAACACATTCGGATCAGTGGGAGGCACCTCAGGCACCTTCGGCACGGGTGGCGGCTTATTGAGATCCGCCTCCTGTATCTCTCTGCCGATGTATGCCACACTTTCCCTGATCTCACGCAAGGACTTCAACATCGCCTCCTCCTCCACTCCATGCACGTCCGTAAGTACTGAGTGTGGATGTTCTCCATTGGAGGTGAAGGCTCGGTTGATACCTAGCTCAAACGGTAACGAAATCGGTTGGGAGTATCTGTCCAACAGCTGCTCCTGTCGCTCCCTCATCTCCATAACACCAGCGGCCAAGTGATGAACGGAGTCCTTAACCTGTTTTAGCACTTGCATTAGCGCGGGGTCCGGAATAGTCAGTCTCGCTACTAATTCCTGCTGTTGATTAATACACTCCTGGAACCTTGTCTGCTCCAGCTCACCCAGACCTTCATTAAGGTCATGCACCAGGCCAGTCAGATCGTCCAGAGCCTGGCGCAAGCTCTGAGCATAATGTGCACGTCGTTCGTTGCTCTTCTGCTGCTTCAGGTCGTGTACATTGCGTGCCAGTGTCTCCACATACTTGGTGACCTCTTTCACGGCCACGATGAGGGGCGTGGAGGCGACGACCGCCTCCTCACCCCCGGCCTTTTGAGTGTACTCGCTGGAGAGCTCGTGAAGCCTACTCATCACTGATCTGCCCGTAGCCATGACCTCTTGTTGCAGCGGATTCCCGAAGCCGGTCAGGTAGGTGATGTCCGCCGCACTTGCATCGGTAGGACGCGGAGTAGTTGGCTGCAGAAGGCAGCTCAGACGTTCACTGTCCTCCTGAATGAGTTTAGTCAGACTGACAATTCCCTGTTGCAGACCAAAGAAGGGACTAGCCAACGGCAGCTGCTCGGGTGGTGCTTCTGCTTTAAATTCTCCCGGTGGCGGCGGCGGAAGGGAGGATAGTGATCTGCTCTGAAAAGTCTGACTGATGTGTTCGTTCTGGGAACGCAGTTCTGCGGCCAGCCCGCTGATCTGACGCAGAAGCTCGCTCATTTCGCCGCTGCTGGGGTAGCCAATTGTCGAGGGCGGGGGCTGTGGTTGCAGTTGTTCAGTTTTTTGCTCAGTTGTCCATTCAGTGGTCATGGACTTTCTGAGGGCTGACAGTAAGTCCATCTTCTCCTGCCGCGCTCCTCGCACGAGGTACTCCAGACTGTTGCCCAGGAGAGTCATTGCATCGGAGAGCTCATCTTCCGCGATCACGGAGAGGGCCTGTTCCCTAACCACGCTCGCCGCCTGATCTTCAGCAGTCAGACCCAACGACTCCTGCAGCATGTTCTTGATTTGTCTACTCTCTGCCTCGAATTCCTCCGCTAGTTCCTTGATACTGCGTTGCAGTTGGTTGAATTCGTCGCGGTCTGGAAGCTTGGAGGATTTTTTAGATTCCAGGGTGGAAGGCTCACTGCCTACTGAGACCTTTGAGGATCCTAGGCTAGGGGGTTGCGTGGTCTTTTTGCTGGAACCTTCTATATCTGTCTTCTCCTCTGAGCGTCCCGTACTTCTTCGACTGCCACTAGCGCGGCGGTCCGGATTTTCTGGATCTAACGACTTCCTCGAGGAAGCATTGGACTGCTGCTGCTGTTGTTGCAGATGACAGTGATCTTCAGTGCTTGATCCGCCTGAATGATCCGGTGATGCAGCAGTGATGCTCTGTCCACTGTGCCTCTTGCAAACCATCCTACCTCGCAGTTTTCAGTTTGATCCCGTGGATTTCCTGAATCTTACACAACGATTCACCACGCAGACCCCAGAACGCTGGGGAAATTCGGTGCGTTTTAGAAAACCGTGGCCTGCAGACATGTGCAACGCTACAATGACCAGGGTGGAAGCTGGACCTGTATCGATTAGTCTTCAAAAGGACGCCTGTGACTGGGGTCGTCCCAGCGGATGCCCACATCAACTGGTAGTCGTCGACTGTCTGAACATCGTGGATAATCGGATAATTGCTTCAGTAAGTAGCTCCATCTTCTGAGCGATCATTCATAATCAGTCCAGCGAGGACCGGAGATATCGCTTGACGTGAATATGCTCTGCTAGTGGATGAAAGCTAGGCGGAACGTTTTGACGTTGTGGCAAGCGGGTCTCGGAATCAAGCTGAAGCCCTGGAGAATTGCAAGTGTCCGTGCTTCCCTGCGAGCCAATGATGGTCATGATATGACTTCTTTCGACAGAACAGATTTTGACACATTGATTGTGTTGAAACAAGCTGGAGCGGGCGTTTCTGCAGCTTGAATGTTTCTAAAATCCCACGCCATAGCTTGCAAAGTGTCAATTAGTTAACCACCGGCTGCACTGTGGCTAGACTCATTTGAGGAAGTTGTCCAAAACGCCGAATGAATGGGGATTTTTTAAATCGGCTTGTCTGATACCAGCACTTTTGCAGGACAATATGTCGATATGTGGCAGCTGGTCGCTTTTGATGTTTTATGCCTAACAGTCCGTGAGAGGAGTCAGTATACTTGTAAAATCGGAAAGTCGGAGGATTTTTGGGCTTATCGCAGTTACTGTTTTCGCTTATATGGTTTCGTAGCTTTCCACTAACTACCGGCTATTTTGACGCACTCGGTTTATTCTGATGCTGATGATGTTTTACACGTGCGCATGGAAGGAAATCTCGTTCGGAAACAGTGTTGACGTTTTTTGGATGGTTGAATAAGGTCTTCCGTTATGTTCTATTAAAATAGCAGTTGTTCTTATCTTTTAGAAAAATCAGTTCGTGGTTTGTATTCCAACGTGTTTGCCTTGCTGTATAGTCAGTAGCGAAACCTGATTGGTTTAATTTCCTGGACGCAGCAACTGTTTCATCTCAGACTATTTCGGTACATTTTGTCGAGGCAGTTGTTGCTGTGAAAACAATTCAGCAATGATGATATTCACTCTCCCCAGTAGAGGTGGCCAGGGACATCGAAAAGCACGATTTCTGGGTTCTAGATACGACGAGAGCAGGAGTCCGACTTTCCATATTCCTACCCAGACATGTCGTCAACTAAAACAGATTTGGTAATTTAGAGGCCATGTTATAATCACCGGCTGTCGAGATTTTGTCATGGCTGGTGGTGACTCGACTGTTCGACCGTGGTTGCCGACAATGTTCACGTATGCCGCCCAGCATGGTGAAGCAGGCATGGTGACTTGTGCGTGAGTGAGTTTATAGTGGTTGTGGACTTGCACAGCATCTACTGCACTCTCTCCTCCTCCTCTCCATCTGGGCCCGGTGTCAAGACATAGTGAAGAAGACCGGAGGCAGGAGGCGGCTGAGGTGGCTGACACGGCCGGACCCGCACCTAGGCGTACCACCACACCCCTTGGTCTACAACAAACACTTGACCAGGAGTTTGCTCAGTAACATCATCAACAATGACAACAAGGACAGCAGTAGCAGAGAGACGATGATGACTGGGCAGCCATGCATACGAGCTGTTTACCCAGCGGAAGCGCAAGCGCATCTGCCGGCAGGGATCCAGGTGTCAGACAGTGCATACCAGGTTGCCATGGTCATTGTTGTATCCAGTTGGCCAACGTTTCTATTTCTCCACGCCCCTTTCGCCCTTTTTAACCCTCCTTCGAGCACGGTCGGTGTTCTTTTAATTAACTAGTTTTTGTATTATGACCTTGAGCTGGAAATTCGATTTGCCCGAACAGTCACAAAGGAGTTCTTTGTCTAGGCTATC